AATATCTTGGAATTTCCTTTTTATGTGAAAATAATTGAAAATTGGAAAAATGAACGGAAATTTTCATTCTATCAGGAATTCGGTTAAACTCAATGTTCAATCCTCACGCGATTTTGAAAATTGAAACTGCCATTGAAGGATTAATGACTGCGTAACATTAAAATAATTTTTTTTCCAAAACAAACGAAAAATTTCCTGGACGTTTCGATCTTTAATTAAATTCAAATTCACAACATTGTGAATGCAGATGCAATTGTTGCTTAAATTTCAAGAAATTTCTAATCGTGCAAGACGAAGGAGATATTTGTCGCTTTGATTCCAAGAAAATTAGCCCATTTCGGCGTAATTTCTACTGAAATAGTAGGATTTCTCATTTATCATTGTTCCCAATTCGAGAAAATTTTCTTAAATTCCGTCGCGAAGTCTTAAAACTGTTTCTTAATCTATATTATCTATTTATTGAGTGCTTTCTTCCTCGCGAATCGCGGGGAGTGCCCACTGTTTTCTGGCAAACTCTGTTTATCTTCTTATCCTGTTTGTTGGCTGTGGTTAGATTAATACCTAATGCAAAATTTTTGTATCTATTCATTATTGATTATTGATAAAGTAAAGGTAAAAATAAGCGATAGTAAAAATTCCAGTACGAAGATTTGTAATTTTTCTCCACACGGAGAAATTTCACCTGCCACTCTTGAAAATTCACAACCGCGAACGGCAATTTTCTTCACCTCGCCACTACTCTACACAATTGTATCTCTTAAGGGATTTTTACCCATTGCTTGGAGCCAATTTTATCATAAATTTTTGCTTGCGTCGTGCCATTTAATAGGCACACGTGGCATATCAATGTTTCTGCAGATGCATCGAGTAGGTGAAACGACGCTGGTATTCCCACGCCGAGATGCTACGCTAGTCGATCACTTTCGCTCATTATCCAACAGGCTTATCCATTACGGATTGCAAAATCGTGGTTATGGGGTTAACTGGCTAGGATATTTTCTAATGGAGTTTGGTCGGGATGCTTATGGTTTTTTTTTTGCGGAAAACACGCACCTGTGTGGCGACGGTTGATGCAGACACCTGGGAATTGAGGGGGTGGGCTGGCAGGTTTTAATTCATTTGGGAAATATCCTTGCGGTTACAGGGGTATTTACTCGGCGTGGGATATTGTGAAAAATTTAGGATGTAAAGCGAGTGGGTTTTGCGGGAATTTCTATTTGAATTTCCAAGGAATATCATAAATTATCATCGGTTACATGGGTTTCGACGTTCTGGGGACATTTATCTCTCCTAGCGAAATGAATTATCGGAGATTTAATGCGAATTATATTGGAGGAGAATGATATAAGGTGAATGTCCTGGTGGAAATGTGCTCCAGTAGCTCAGAGACTTGAAGTGAATTTTATGTTTATTCGATGGCGTTATCCATTAATTTTTAATTTATAGCAAATTTTGCAATTTACTTCCAGGTGAAAATCCATAGACTAAGAAAAAAAAAATTTGGGAGCGGGACGTCTTCACTTACATCAAGAAACTCATGCCTCTAAAATCTATCTTGCACTCAGAAAAGAAAAACTTTCAAGAGATTTTGTCCTTGCCCCAAAGACGAGGATAATTTGTTTATGACAAGAAAGTGATTTCTCAAACCAAGTCTCGTTGAACGAATTTATTAAACAGTTTTTTAGTGTCAAATCTAAAATATGTTAATGAAGAAACCACGTGACTTGGTTCGAGAATTCGCTTTCTTGTTATGAACCAATTGCCCTTCATCGTTCGAATAAGCACAAAATTTCTTGGCACAAGTTATTTTTTCTCAGAGTACGATGGTACTAGACCGAGGAACACTTTCCGAAAGTTGCACCTCTCCTAAAAGGTTTCTTTTGACATGACGCAAGCCCTAGAAACTCGCTGAGGCATTGATTGTCTGTCATTTGAAATAATTTGTTGTGAAAATGCGTGAAAATTCAGTAATAGTAAATGTAAAAAATGCATTTTTAAACTGTGCAGATCGTGATGGGTTCATATAACCCAAAAAATCGAAAACTTGAATTTGAGCGACTAAAATGTATTCATGCGGAAGCGAAAGTCCGGAAAATCACAGAATTCAAACCAATTTTGTACAAGACTAAGTATTTCCTCAAAACGGGGGGTTTGTGTGTATTGCGAAGTTCGAGAGACAATTACCTCTTGTAGAGAAACAAATTATAGGAAATTCAACGAAAATGATATGAAAAAATGGCATAAAGTAGATTCAAAATATATTTTATATTTAGTAAATGACATGTATCATTCATTAGTACCAAATCTTGCGATAGTCACTTAATGACGGGTTGGAGAGTTCATGACGCCCCTGTCACGTGACTGAGACGTTTCTGCTTACCGCAGCTTCCTCAGGTCAAAACCGATACGATGGTACAAGTAGCGAGAACGAACTTCAGTCCCAATGGAGCATTAACTCTCATCCAAAAACTGTCGAAACAAGCAAGTTTTGGAAGTTTTCTGCTGCCGTGCGAGAGAAAAATCCGAATAATCACAGATCTCAGACGACTATTTTTAAAAGAGGTCGGTAGAAGTCCTCGGAGAGAGTGATTAAATTTTTTTAATGATGTAAAATTATCCAATAAATATTCCAAAGTTTCAGACATTTATCTATTCTAACGAAATTAATTATTAGACATTTAATGAAAGCGATATTGTGGGAGAACCATATAAGGTGAATGTCCTCTGATACATGAATGTGTCCCAGTAGCTGCAAGATTTAAAATATATTTCATGTTCACGGAATGACATGTTTTATTTATTCCACACCAAATCTCGCAATCCCAACTTTGTAGCAGGATGACATGAGTAGAGAAACTTCCCGAGACCATAAAAAGCCATGACGTTATTTATTTATGTGTTAAACAACTGCCGGACATTCGCCTAGATTATTAAACTCACATCTGCAAATTTCCAGAGTCATTCAATACAAATTTTACAATGAGGAAGTATATTCATTGTACATTATTCCGCCATAAATTTAGTTGTAATAACGTCGTTGCAGGGTGAGAAAGCGGTTATGATTATGGTATAGTTTTTCATTACTCCGAAGGAATAGGGGCATAAACGACGGGAGTGCAGACATTGTACCTATCATTCATGCCCTTGTAACTCTGCGATGGAGACGAAATAATGTCGATCGTAATTGTTTTACAATTTCATTCTGTCCATTATCTTCTCACTATTGCGGGGGATAACAACATTCCGAAGTTTTAAATAACATCTCACAGCTTACATTGTTATCAACGTTATCAACAATGCCATGTTGTGACCTTGAAGTGATTTATGATGACGATGAACTGTCAATCCGAAAGATAAACGTGTGGTTTTGGAAATCAGTATATAAAGATTAATTCGAGTAGTATGCGTGTTTATTGATGATTTAATATTAAATTAGACATCTTTAAAGTTTCACATTTGACTGTTTGTTATCTCTGATAATGACATGGTCACCTCGGAATGAGGTACAGGTGATTAATTGTGAATACAAAAAACAAACGAATAGTTTCGAAAATTGTAAAAGTACAATTGGACTGCGTAACTCTCATATTTGTCGGCGTAGAACTATAAAGCTCCGACCCTTGCTTCGAATTATAAGGATTGAACTGTGAAAGAGGGGAAACCCATAGCGAACTTTATATAGCCATTGTCAATAAATAAATGTTGTCACCTTGAAGTTTAATATGAAGTTGATCAATTCTAAATTCAGAAATAAACGTTTAATTGCGAAGGAATCGAGTAATGTGCACATTTTTCTGTCATAAAATTTTTAAAACGAAGAACCGGTAGTATACTGTCATCTATATTGGCAACAGTAACATATTGACAGCTGCTAATTACCCATGAAGTTAATGATTCAGGAATTCCAAGAACAAACGTGGAGTTTGGAAAATCGTAAAATTAAAATAAATTTGACAATTATGAACTTTAACCCATTGTTGCGCGTAAGTTTCGAAGCGTCTCGGCGTTGAGGGGCGAGAGGAGTGGGGAGTCCGTCCGAGTATTAGTGCGCCATAAGAGGAACCCGCTGGGGCACGCAACCATGAGACGAAGCAAACGGTTAAACTTCTATTATTTATTTTGTCAAGAATAGAATATTCTCATCTTTGAATTACACTTGAAGTTAACATATACCAAATTCGAAAAGCAAATGTGTAATTTAAGTTTAATTTAATTTAATTTCAACGTTTTATTTTAGAAAACGTTAAACCACAACGAATTTGAGTAATGTGCGGATTTATTGTCGGCAATAATATGTTGTCACCCTGAAATGGACCGTGAAGTTGATGAATTGAAAAAGAAACGTGTAATTTTGAAACTCGTGAGAGTACGATGAATTTAAATAATGTCTAATGTATTTATTGACACAACTATTGTTCTTAAAAATGTAGCGATTGATTGGGGGAAAATCAGCAAAAAAATTTATTCATGCTATTAAAACAGGCACATTGCGTGTGATTTTGAAAATCTAGAAATTACACTGAATTTAAATACACTGATAGAACGGTTTAGTCGAACTAAACGAGACTGTTTAACTATTACCACGATTCGTTGACTATTAACCAATCGCGGTGACAGTTAAGAAGCCTCGTTTGGTGCAATAGAATCGGTCCACCTTTTCTGTCAGTGTAATATCCATATTTCTCGATAAAAGTTGTAACTTCAAATCGCCACGATTGAATTGTGCAAGATTACTGTTAGCCATCCACTCAACCAGGGAAATTTCTATTATTTACTGTGTCATCATGAACTGCAAATATTAAATATCGTTACAACTGTCCCCAAACGAACACGTGAAGCACCTGTCTGCAACACCTGACATTGCGAGTACATCTCTGCAGGGGTTCCCGCGGGTCCGTTGAGCATAAAACAATCATTTGTATTTATGTTGCAAAAGAGGGAGTGAAAAAAAAGTCCAAAAACGTTGTGTCATCTATCTTCCCCATCACATTTGGAATTAGTTATATATTGGCAGGACGAAGAAGAGGGTTTGACCCTTGAGCTCCCGGTAATTGAACGTTGTAGCATTTTACCTCGCACTGATACTTGTACCAGGGATTCGTGCAGAGGGAGCAGTCGAAAGCGGTTGGCTGTATGAAAAAATAAAAACCTCAGTGAGTAACAGTTGGAAATATTATTTGTTTCAGTAGGTAAGTCATTAAAATAAAAGGTGAATGGAACGAGAATTACGTAATAATGCTACTATAGCATTTCAATAATCGTGGGATAGGTGATGCTCCCAAGAAATGATTTAAGGTAATTGCACGTATTCGGCGAATGAAAAGCATTTAAATCAAACTCATTTCATCGTATTAGTAATAAGAGTTATGCTGTTCGTTTGAATTTGTTTCTCAATAATTTCCACCAATTATTATCTAATTGTCATTATCTAATTCTGAGATTTGGCTCATGAATGAGATGAAATACAAAATAGAATGGAACTTTCACTACGAGTTTGAATTATAAACAACTAAACTGACGGTTGAGTATTCTACTATTTCATCATCACCCCTTGAGACAGATTAATTTAACGAATTATCTCGGATGACTCGGTTGTTTGAAAGTTGTTGAACAATGAAGAGTCATCCGGGAATTTCTCATGGAACATTTAATCAATTAATTACTTGTGTTTGCTGTATACAAGGCCAACTCTGGTGATTTATGCAACCACCGATGGGCCCGAGACCCACTCCAAATGTGACTGTTGAAACAACAGAAATGGGTGGAAAGCATCCGTATCCATAGCCTCCTGCGCAGCCACCACCAGGTGCTCCTGATCCTCCTGGCCCTCCAGGCGTGCCTGGACCACCGGGGGTTCCCGGGCCGCCGGGTGTCCCTGGACCTCCGGGCGTTCCTGGCCCTCCTGGAGTGCCTGAATATTCATAAATAAAGGAAATTGAGTAAGATTCACGTCTCAATTAAGCCTACACTGAGAGAAAAACAAACACGTTGTCAAACAAATCTTGTTTGGACCAATAAAATAGCTAGTTGAAAAATGCCAAAAAAGAATTTGTTTGGTTCGAATTTAAAAGTCTCAAACATGAATAATTGTTCTGCTTTCGACAGCAACGAAATATTTCGCTCAAGAGGCGGATTATTCACACCAAACGGCGCCTTCTCAGGATGAAAATATCTCATATAGAGGAAAATTTATCAACAAATATTTTATCCCTAAGTTACAAGATTGCTATCATATAATTATTATTGTTGCATTTAAGGGTTCATTTGTTGTCTGTGATTATTAGACAGCTGAAACGAAAAACTACTATCTCTTGTTTCGCATAAAACAAATATTTTTCGGGAGCAAAATACGTCTGGGAGTGTCGAATAACGAAGGAGTAGTGCTTTCTTGCGTGTACAGAAAATACATATTTTTTTGAACTACGAAATCTATTTTTGCGACAACAATTTTTCATTTCGGTGCACTCACTGCATATTTGGCAAAAAAATCCTTTTTTGATAATTTTCAAAAAAAACTATTTTCTTGGCATAAGTAAGACTTGTTGGAGAACTTTGTCGTTTTTCTCTCAGTGCACAATTTCAATCACTTACCTTCGTTTCGTCCTCCCCCACCCCCCGGTGTGCCTGGCGGCCCTTGCGGTCCCGTAGTATTCACATGATTGTGAATGACATTGTTGATATCAATGTTAGTGGTAATATTTGGACTTCCCGAAGCCCCCGAACCCCCCGACGAGGTGCAATCGTGGTCATTGCACACAGTTTCGTATGTTGTAATTAACTGTCGTGTCTCCTTAGTCTTTTTCATGCATTTTGTGTGACACTGATGGACACATTGAGTGGACGTGCAGAGATCGAGTCCACACTCGTCGAAACAACTCCTGGTCCCGCCTGACAGTTCAAAATAAATGAGCTGGTAATTGCTCTATTACACGGAGAAAAAAAGTTTTTATTTTCAGGGGCCCATCTCCAATTTTTAGAAGTCTATCACCAAATTTCAGGGATAAAAATCACTGAGAATTGGGGTCATTCTAGTCAATGTCGAGTATCCCCCCAATAATTGGTAATCAATTCCTGAAAATCAGTGACATGTCATTTTTTTCTCGTTATCTAAACTGGTTTTTTGGCAAACTACAACTTTCAATACCGCTGCAAAAACTAGTGTGAAATTTGCAATTTATTTAAGAATTTCGCAACAAATTAGAAATTTTTCGTATGAACCAATCGTCAGGACGATTCTATCAATGTCATCTTCGAACTCAATTAAAGTGATATTAAAATTAATTTTTTGGGCCATGATTAAATTAATATGAAGCATCATTTTCGAAGATGTCCAGCAACCAATTTTTTTTGGAAGTCCAGATTGCATTTTTCGATTTTCTCGATCACCATTGCGTTGATATAACACAAAACATCGATAACTTAGATTCGAACGATCACAAATCTTCCATTCGGAAGCAAAAAATGTGCAATAGAAATCTTCTTTATCACCAGTGGGACCAGAAGTGATCGTGAAATATGAAGATGATCGAACGAATTGATGGCGCTAATGTATTTTTGTCATTCAAATCGACAATTGAAGATTGTCCACAGTACCTGATGAATCATGATGCTCGTGATGCCGCTTATGCCTCTTCAAGCATTTAATATAAGTCCGATAATCTGAGTGCTGGCACTCAAGCAGAATTGTGTGCTCCTCCGGCGTTTGATTTTTACCACTTGACCCATGATCAATATCATTATTCGCAAATGCTACGACATTAATTGTACCAATGAATAGAATAATCGCGATACCAACTCCACTCAACTCCATCTTCGCGTTAGTACGAACGCACGTATGAGCGAGAGACTTTATAATGTCGTTCCCCCGGGGTTCGGAGCCGGTGTAAATGACCCTACCCTAGACACTATTTACCCATGGGATATGGGGCGATGCACTTGGCTAATATTTTAGTACGTAACTTTTTTTATTTTTACATTTTACTTCTCTTAATTTTTTTCGCGTCATTTTCCGCTGGCGTTTACTCTTGCTAGATCAACAAATTTGCACTTCTTATCGGGCAAGCGGAATGACATCCACGATTGCCGAGTTTCTTTCGTGTTATGTCATTTTTATTTTCTGTACTGTTAGGAATTTCTTATAAATTAATTGAAAGTTAGGTGATTAATTTGAATCGTTGAAGAGTTATTTCAGTAAGGGCATTATAATTGATGAAATCGTAATTTGAATATGATTTTAAACCGACCTTCAATCCTCAAAAATGAAAGAGAAAAACATTGTTTGTGGACTAATTGTACACTGCACCCAGGAAAAAGGTCTATTGGAATTAAATAAACTTGATTTGAATCGAATAAACGATTAGCTAGACAATCCACATTATTTGCCTTAATTACTTCAATATCTGAATAATTTAATTATTCAGATATGAATTTAAAAATTTTCCAAATTTCTATCTGTAGGGGAGGTTGGGCTAACACGGACACTTTTGATTTTTTTTTAAATGTTGACGAGGGGTTGAAATGTTGATAAAATTTAAGAATTTTTTTTTTCAATATAAAGAAGAATTCTTCCCCTTTGTGACGAGCCTAAACTGAGCTCAATTGATAAATTTGTTTCTGAGGTATGAATAATTTTAAAAAAGTCTGAAGTGTCCATTTTACCCCACCCTCCCCTAATTCGGAGTTCGAATAATTACGTAAGAAATAATCCACTGGCAGAACTAGCGATTTCACTAGGCAATTTTATCAGAATTTCATTAGAATTTTATTGAGATTTTGTTAGAAATCCATTGAGATTTTATTTGTAACTGTATTCGTTAAAGAATTGTTGAGCTCAAAAGGACTGCGTATGCACTAGAGGTACGATCTAGTGATTCTTTTGATGCTCTGGAAATTGAATGCAGAGAACTGAGATTAGAAGTTCAGAGTGAAAGATCCTCCCGATTCCAGCCTAGTTTCAGAATGTTCAAGTTTTCACTGGAAAGATCAACAACTAGATCAATATGTTTTATGGAACATTGAATATTCATGTCAAGTCGTTGAGAAAATATAAAATTTCTCGGTGATTTCAGGACATGATGTGGCCATTTTGTGAACGGAAGTGAATATTGATAACATCAGGCAATGAAATTTTCATTCTTAGTCAAGGAACGACAGATCCATGCCGGAATATTCAGAGTCTGTTTTCATTTTTCTAGGTCAATTAACGGAATTTTACTTCCAGAGAGTAAAGATTTCTAGTTTTCAATAGAAAAAAGTACTGATTTTAAGAAACAGATAGTAGTAACATGTGATGTCCATACAAAAAAAAATTTCACTTACTTTCACTGAATTTTTAATTCAATTTGACTGGAAAGTTTCTTATTTTACTAACAAAACATGTTAGAATTATAAATTTCCTAAAATCAGTATCTTTTCACTGCAAACTAGAAATTTTTCGTATTTGTGAAAAAAAAAATAGGAGACCTCTGTTTCCCTGAAGAACTAAGCATCAATATTTCCCTGGAATGATTTTTCCGAAGGCGTTCGATAAAATTTCATTTCGATTCGTCTCCATGACCTTCTGATGGGTGCAAGAAAAAAAAATCTATCGGTGAGAAAAATTTTACTGTACAGGAGGATAATTTTTACACCCATAGATTTTTTTTTTACCGAACGAATTGTAATGTTGTATTTAATTAAATAATAACTCGGGATTAATCAAAGGGGAATATTCATTGACAGTTCTTCAGAATCAATCATGGAACAAACATGAATCAAAACGTGAACTTATTCCCAACTTATTCCCAAACATTAGAGAATCAATCCTTTCTTTTATTTTCCAAAAGAGGGGAAGAGGATAGATTGAGCCATTCGATTCCGTAACAATAAAATTTTTTCACTGAATTACATTTGCTCCCCGATTCCCTTTCGTACCGTAAAATTTGCCACGACTGTCTGAGTAATTTTTATCCAATTTTTCTCTCCGCGTATCAAATTCCAACTTAAATTGTCCAATTACATTCGGATAATAGATTTCATTCGAATTCCATCCAAATTAGTTCACGTCGAATATTTCAAGAGTTCTCTCTCAAAATTTAAGAGGAAATCTCCCATTAGCCTATGATCAATACCGAGAGCGACATTCCAGGGCGGTTTCAAGCTACGTCTAGACGCGGAATGAAGATACGAGTGAAATATTATTGGAGTAGTTATTCCCAACTTATTCCCAAACATTAGAGAATAACAATCGTTTCTTTTATTTTCCAAAAGAGGGGAAGAGGATAGATTGAGCCATTCGATTCCGTAACAATAAAATTTTTTCACTGAATTACATTTGCTCCCCGATTCCCTTTCGTACCGTAAAATTTGCCACGACTGTCTGAGTAATTTTTATCCAATTTTTCTCTCCGCGTATCAAATTTCACCTTAAATTGTCCAATTACATTCGGATAATAGATTTCATTCGAATTCCATCCAAATTAGTTCACGTCGAATATTTCCAGAGTTCTCTCTCAAAATTTAAGAGGAAATCTCCCATTAGCCTATGATCAATACCGAGAGCGACATTCCAGGGCGGTTTCAAGCTACGTCTAGACGCGGAATGAAGATACGAGTGAAATATTATTGGAGTAGTTATTCCCAACTTATTCCCAAACATTAGAGAATAACAATCGTTTCTTTTATTTTCCAAAAGAGGGGAAGAGGATAGATTGAGCCATTCGATTCCGTAACAATAAAATTTTTTCACTGAATTACATTTGCTCCCCGATTCCCTTTCGTACCGTAAAATTTGCCACGACTGTCTGAGTAATTTTTATCCAATTTTTCTCTCCGCGTATCAAATTCCAACTTAAATTGTCCAATTACATTCGGATAATAGATTTCATTCGAATTCCATCCAAATTAGTTCACGTCGAATATTTCAAGAGTTCTCTCTCAAAATTTAAGAGGAAATCTCCCATTAGCCTATGATCAATACCGAGAGCGACATTCCAGGGCGGTTTCAAGCTACGTCTAGACGCGGAATGAAGATACGAGTGAAATATTATTGGAGTAGTTATTCCCAACTTATTCCCAAACATTAGAGAATAACAATCGTTTCTTTTATTTTCCAAAAGAGGGGAAGAGGATAGATTGAGCCATTCGATTCCGTAACAATAAAATTTTTTCACTGAATTACATTTGCTCCCCGATTCCCTTTCGTACCGTAAAATTTGCCACGACTGTCTGAGTAATTTTTATCCAATTTTTCTCTCCGCGTATCAAATTCCAACTTAAATTGTCCAATTACATTCGGATAATAGATTTCATTCGAATTCCATCCAAATTAGTTCACGTCGAATATTTCAAGAGTTCTCTCTCAAAATTTAAGAGGAAATCTCCCATTAGCCTATGATCAATACCGAGAGCGACATTCCAGGGCGGTTTCAAGCTACGTCTAGACGCGGAATGAAGATACGAGTGAAATATTATTGGAGCAGTTTAAATCGATTGGCGTCATTATGCACCGGTTTGTTGAAAAATGTCATGATAAAACAGTTAACGTTTTTGTTACACTGACGCTGTTTAACGTGCAAATTTAAAGCCCACGAACTGTATGCATCAACGGGGAAACTAACAAGGATATGCATTGCACTGGGTACACAAAAGGCACCTTGTACACGACGTTTAAATTATCTCTCGTTATAATCGTTGAGTCACCTTTTTGTGTGTTTAGAGTGACTACGGGGTACTGTGCTTGCAAAAGACTTCCTGGGGCATAGATATGAAATATCACCCCTCGTGTAAACACTTCTTCATCGTCATAATAGCGACGCAATGTGCAATGGCACATTTATGTTATTAAATTACATCGTAGTATTTACTCTGTAGGCTCTTTTTCGGTGTAAATGGGACAGTTTAATGGGATGTGTCGCAGCTTTTGAAGGGAAATTAAATTTGATCACGTAATTTATAGTTATTCAAGGCGGATAAAGATGTCATCCGTTAGTGTGTCATCGACGCGGGGCACATACGTTAATAATTCAGGTATTGAATCTATTGGGTTCAGTTAATTATTTAGAACATCCGGCATTTATTTCTTTTATTATTAAGCACTCATTTCAGTTGGGTTAATTTATCATAGTTACAACTATATTTATTTTTCCAAATTTCCTATTAATGTCAACTGAAGATTTATGAACATGGAAATGAACAGCAAAATTGGTTGAGCACTCAACTTTATTCAATGTTGTAAATATAAAACAATTTTGGAGAATGAAGAAAAGATATCAACATGATTCTGAAAATGGCCTCAACTTTCTGACGAATCTACAAGTGGGGAACTCACTTGCGTATTCTTTTGCAAATATCTTCGGAGAGAAAGAATTTAGGAATTCAGTAAAGGGCTTTCGTTTGAGAAAAATTAAAGAGCGGAAAAAAATTGTTCGCTCTGAACTCCCTTATTTTCGAGACGTTGGCGAAGTAAATCATCACATAGACGCGGATTCGTTTTTTTGGAGATTATTCTGCAAAAATCTTCGGAGTGAGGGAATTCCGGAATTCAGCGAAGGGCCTTTATTATAAAAAAATTGAAGAGATGAAAAAAAAGGTGTGGTGGTTTCCTTTGAACCCCTTTATTTCAGAGATGTTGACGACAGAAAATAATGCCCATTTGCATTTCCTAAACCTGTCCATAATGAAAATTCTCGCTAAATAATTCTCATAAAAATGTAGATATGGATTATTTCATGAATATCTTCGGAGTGAAGCGACTTATACAAAAATTCATCAGAGAACCTCTTCCACAGTAAATTTCAAGATCTCCAAAAAAGGTCTTGTGATGAATTGTCATAGACCCCTGCATTCCGAAGATAATCAGCATTCAAATGTAAATTCACCCACGTAGATTATTCTTCTATAAATATTTTCGGAGTGAAGAGGTTTGCGCGAAAAAATCAGAAGACCTTTTTGACAGCGATGTTAAAGAGCTCCAGCAAACTCCTGGGATGAAGCCCCCAACCCCCTCCACTCCAGAGATATCCCCAA